CCGGCAAATACCAATTCTGGCTGGCCCTAGAGAGGGGTGGGAATGGAGATTTTGCAATATCCTTCCCCTGGAGTGGGCTGGGAATGGAGATTTTGCAGTATCCTTCCCCTGCCATGCCCACCCCGCCACGCCCACAGAACCGGTAGTAAAAAAAAATTGGATTTCACCACTGCTCCCTTTTCCCACTCACTTAGATAGTCCTTGACTTACCACCGTTCATTTAGCGACCGTTCGAAGTTGCAACGTCGCTTTAAAAAAGGGACTTTTTCACACTTACGACCGCTCCGGCATCCCCGCGGTCACGTGATAAAAAAATTCAGACACGTGGCGACCGGTTCCTATTTATGACGGTCACAGCATCCCGGGGTCACGTGATCCCCTTTTGCGACCGCCTGACAAGCAAGAGCCACGGGGAAGCCAGATTCACTTAACAACCATGTTAATAACTGCAGCGATTCACTTAACAATGGTGGCAAGAAAGGTCGTAAAATGAGGGGAAAACCCACTTAACGCCTGTCTCGCTTAGCAACAAAAATGTGGGGCTCGATTGCGGTCGTAAGCCAAGGACTACCTGTGATTGGCTTAACTCCAGCTTTTTTACATTCTTCCTTCTAGCGTTGGGTAAGGCGTGGTAGACTGCCTTGAGACATAGAGGTTCTTTTCAGCCAGCCAGGCAAAAGCCCTGTCCCCAATCTCTTGCCCATTCCTCTCTCCAGCCTGGGGGAAGGACCATTCAATCATCCAACTTCTAGAATTTATAAGATTATAGAATTGTAGAACTGGAGGGGACCTCAAAGGTCCTCTAATCCAACCCCCCCCCGGGCCAAATCAGGAGTCCTTATACCCGGGGGTGGGTTCTAATTTTTTTTACTACTGGTTCTGTGGGCATGGCTTATTTTGTGGGTGTGGTTTGGAGGTCATGTGACTAGGTGGGCATGGCTAGCTGGTCAGAGTCATTTCTGGAATGTCCTCGCACTTACGACCAGTCCTCGTACTTATGACCCGACTCATTTGTTTGCTTTTAACACTGATCAGCTGTAGGACGGCCCTTTGAAGCCCCGCAGCAAGAATTTAAACAGTTTTTTTTCCCTCTAGTCATCAGCTGGGACTCAGGAGGCAGCAATAGATTGGGGGTGGGGCCACATAAAAGGTAAGAATAATGTGGGGAGGGGGGGGGGAGAACCGGTTTGGTGACGTCATATCGTCACCGCTACCGGCTCGGCGGAACCGGCGGAACCGGGAGGAACCCACCACTGCTTATACCAGGGATCAGCAACCTGTGGCTCTGGAGCCGCATGTGGCTCTTTCACCCCTCTGCTGCGGCTCCCTGTTTAAGGTTGCCGACTCCTGCCTTATACCATCCTGAACAAATGGCTGTCCAATCAGAAGGTTGTATCTCTTCCCTTTGACACCTTCTGGGGTCTAGGCCCCGTATTTTTTGGGCGGAGAGGGGCTGGGGAGGGGGCAGAAGGAGGTGGGATCTGTTTTTGGAAACCAGCCGGCAGGCGGTGGGTTGTGGGGGGTGGGGGGTTAGAGGTTTAAAACTCTGTTAAAACCTGTGAATACAGAGCTGATTTCTTTATTTGCTAACTCAGGGGTCTGCAACCTTAAGCACTCAAAGAGCCATTTGGACCCGTTTCCCACAGAAAAGAAAACACCGGGAGCCACAAAACCCTTCCCGTGCCTGGCTATTTCCTGAGCGGCCACAAAACTAGCATATGTAGTTGAATTAAACGTTCTGTTTTCTTCCGAAACTTTTCTTGGATTTATCCATGGTAGGCCTACCGGGGGGGTTGAAAAGCTCAAGAAATCGCGTCCCGGCGGGTGTCGCACATTGGCGGTTGTGATGCCTATTTTGAGTGACAGGGAGCCACAGCAGAGGGGTGAAAGAGCCACATGTGGCTCCAGAGCTGCAGGTTGCTGACCCCTGTGCTAACTCAACAGTCCAAAGAAATAACAGCGTCGCCTTGAATAATTCATTCATTCATTCATTCATTCATTCATTGGAAAGAGGGCTGTTTAATTAATTTGTTTGCCACACGGGTAGTCCTCAATTTACAACAGTTCACTTAGTGACCGATCAGAGTTACAACGGCACTGAAAAACAGCGACGTATGCTCATTTTTCACACTTAACGACCACTGCAGCATTCCCCAGGGTCAGGTGATTTACATTCGGATGCTTCGCAACGGACTCACATTTATGACGGTCGCCGCGTCCCCAGGGGCTCCCGCGGGATTTCCCTTTTGCGAACCTTCCGACAAGCCAAATCAATGGGGAAGCCAGATTCGCTTAACGACAGTGTGACTAGGTTAAACAACCGCCGTGATTCGTTTTAACAACTGAGGCAAGAAAAGTCGCAAAATGGGACAAAACCACCCTCTCACTCAGCAAACAGAAATTTTAAGTTGAAGACTACCTGTACTCAGTGGTTGGGATTCAGCCGGTTCGTGCAAACCGGTTGTGAAATTGCTGGCTGGCCCCACCCTGCCTCAGCCCTTCACGCTCTGCCCCTTCCAGGAATCCCCACGCGCCCCATTTTGGCTCCCAGGTAAGTGCAGGGAGTCCTACTGGGCCCAAAATGGGGTACATGCCCCCCCGGCCCATTTTTGCTACCAGGGGGGTGCAGGGGGTGTCACACACCCCTGGCCACGCCCACCATGGCCACGCCCACCCAGCCAGTCCTTAGAGCAGAGAACCAGTTGTTAAATTAATTGAATCCCACCACTGCCTGTACTCATAAAAAGTGGGTGCACAGAATCACCACCCAAAATATCTGGTTCCCTAACCCTAACAAACCACAATCGGGTGGATCAAGAGGTGATCAATTCTGCCCCCTTCCTCAAACTTAAATTTTTATATTATTATTTTTTTTTAAAAAAAAAACAATTTTCTCCCCTGCTTTTCGCACCAGCCTTCGGTGCACCCCAAATTTCTGGCTCTCCTTTCTCCCCCTCCCACCCCATCCCATCCTTTTAACTCCTTCTTCTGCGTTCACACAACCTTCCCAGCCAAAAGAAAAAAAAAATGATCCCGTTTGCCACTCCGCTTGGAAAGCATTTGGCTTCCTGCCGGCTAAGTCTAATTGATTCTCGGGGTTCTAATTGATTCCCTAATTGATTCTCGGGGTTCAGATAAAGGATCCTCACATATCAATTATTGACAGAAATGGGAGAGGAAAGGGTGGGGCAGGAGTGTGTGTCCATTCACACGACCTAGAGCTAAAATGGTGAGAATTTAGTTCTATCCTAGCCCCAAATAATCACATTTATTTGGCGGGTCATGGGAATGAAAGAACTAAAAGAAAAACAGGATGCGTTGATTTCCATTCCAGCAAAAACAAACAAGCTTAATCCGCCTGGCAACTAAACTAAAATGGAGAGAATTTAATTTCCTTCCAGATGAAATAAACGTGTATAATCCGGCGGGTCGTATGAACAAACCAAGAAAAAAAATGGGGCGAGTTTATTCCCATCCCCACCCCAATTAACACGTGTAGAATCCAAGGAGCCGTGTGAACGAAGTAAGAAAAATCGGGGTGAGTTTATTCCCGTCCCAACCCCAATTAACACGTATATAATCCGGCGGGTCGTGTGAACAAACCAAGAAAAAAAACGGGGCGAGTTTATTCCCGTCCCAATCCCAATTAACACGTGTAGAATCCAGCGAGTCGTGTGAACGAAGTAAGAAAAATTGGGGTGAGTTTATTCTCGTCCCAACCCCAATTAACACAGGTATAATCAAGGGGGTGGAGTGAAGGAACCAAGATAAAATAGGCTGAATTTATTCCCGTTCCAACACCAATTAACATGTGGATAATCCGGTAGGTCGTGTGAACGAACCAAGAAAAAAACGGGGCGAGTTAATTCCCTTTCCAGCCCCAATTAACACATGTATAATCTGGCGGGTTGTGTGAACAAAGTAAGAAAAAATGGGGCGAGTTTATTTCCGTCCCAACACCAATTAACACGTGTATAATCCAGCTGGTTGTGTGAAGGAACCAAGAAAAAACGGGGCGACTTTATTCCCGTTCCAGCCCCAATTAACACGTGTATAATCTAGCCGGTCCTGGTGAGTTTATTCCTGTCCCAATCCCAATTAACACGTGTATAATCCAGTGGGTCGTGTGAACGGACCAAGAAAAAACGGGGCGACTTTATTCCCGTCCCAACCCCAATTAACACGTGTATAATCCAGAGGGTGGTGTGACCGAAGGAAGAAAAAACCGGGGCGAGTTTATTCCCTTTCCAGCCCCAATGAACACGTGTAGAATCCGGCGGGTTGTGTGAACGAACCAAGAAAAAAACGGGGCGAGTTTATTCCCTTTCCAGCCCCAATTAACACGTGTAGAATCCAGCCGGTCCTGGTGAGTTTACTCCCGTCCCAACCCCAATTAACACGCGTATAATCCGGCAGGTCGTGTGAACAAACTAGGAAAAAATGGGGCTAGTTTATTTCCGTCCCAACCCCAATTAACACGTGTAGAGAATCCAGCCGGTCGTGTGACCCAAGGAAGAAAAAACCGGGGCGAGTTTATTCCCTTCCCAACCCCAATTAACACGTGTAGAATTTGATGGGTCGTATGAACGAACCAAGAAAAAAACGGGGCGAGTTTATTCCCTTTCCAGCCCCAATGAACACGTGTAGAATCCAGCCGGTCCTGGTGAGTTTATTCCCTTTCCAGCCCCAATTAACACGTGTAGAATCCGGTGGGTCGTATGAACGAACCAAGAAAAAAACGGGGCGAGTTTATTCCCTTTCCAGCCCCAATTAACACGTGTAGAATCCAGCCGGTCCTGGTGAGTTTATTCCCTTTCCAGCCCCAATTAACACGTGTAGAATCCGGTGGGTCGTGTGAACGAACCAAGAAAAAAACGGGCCGAGTTTATTCCCGTCCCAGCCCCAATGAACCCGTGTAGAATCCGGCGGGTCGTGTGAACGAAGCAACTGGAGCCCGGAGGGTCTTTTTCCCCCGCTTCCCTTCCCCGATCCCTGCTTACCACGGGCCCTCCGATCTTGATCAGCTCCCGGGCTTCCTGCCAAGCGCCGACGGGCAGGAGGCGGCGGAGGCGGCGGGCGCAACGGGAAGCCGAGAGCGGCGGCGGGGAAGGCGGGGAAGGCGGGCGACTCCGAGCCGGCTCCTCCATCACGCTCTCGGCGGGGCCCCTTCGGCCATGGAGGGGGCTGGATGGGAGGGAGGGGAGCCGCTCAACGGCCGAGGCGGCAGCAGGAGGAGGAGAAGCGGCGGCGGCTCCAGCAGCTGCGGCTCCCGCGGCCACGTGAAGCCAGGCGAGCAGGGGGCGTGGCCTGGGGGGGAATCCCCGCCGCTATTGGGTGGGACGCGCTGTGACGCGCGCGCCAAGCGGGGGGGGGCGCTGGGGAGGGGGGCTTGCCCCGCCCACTCCCCCCCAAAGGTTGGGCTTCCCCTGGGTGGGCGCGGGACACACCACACGCGCACTGGCCCCCTCCTCTGAAGGCACACTGGGATGGAGGGATGCAGATAATAAATGATAGATAGATATGTGGGATGGATGGATGGATGGATGGATGGATGGATGGAAGGATACAGATGATAAATGATAGGTAGGTAGGTATGTGGGTGGGTGGATGGATGGGTGGATACAGATGATAAATGAGATAGATAGATAGATAGATAGAGGGATGGATGGATGGATACAGATGATATGGATGGATGGAGATGGATGGATGGATGGATACAGATGATACAGATGGATGGGTGGATACAGATGATAAATGAGATAGATAGATAGATAGATAGATAGATAGATAGATAGATAGATAGATAGATAGATAGATAGATGGATGGATGGATGGATGGATGGATGGATGGATGGATGGATGGATGCAGATGATAAATGAGAGATAGATAGGTAGGTGTGATGGATGGATGGATGGATGGATGGATGGATACAGATGATAAATGATAGGTAGGTAGGTAGATGGGTGGATGGATGATAAATGATAGGTAGGTAGGTATGTGGGTGGGTGGATGGATGGGTGGATACAGATGATAAATGAGATAGATAGATAGATAGATAGAGGGATGGATGGATGGATACAGATGATATGGATGGATGGAGATGGATGGATGGATGGATACAGATGATACAGATGGATGGGTGGATACAGATGATAAATGAGATAGATAGATAGATAGATAGATAGATAGATAGATAGATAGATGGATGGATGGATGGATGGATGGATGGATGGATGGATGGATGGATGCAGATGATAAATGAGAGATAGATAGGTAGGTGTGATGGATGGATGGATGGATGGATACAGATGATAAATGATAGGTAGGTAGGTAGATGGGTGGATGGATGATAAATGATAGGTAGGTAGGTATGTGGGTGGGTGGATGGATGGGTGGATACAGATGATAAATGAGATAGATAGATAGATAGATAGAGGGATGGATGGATGGATGGATACAGATGATATGGATGGATGGAGATGGATGGATGGATGGATACAGATGATACAGATGGATGGGTGGATACAGATGATAAATGAGATAGATAGATAGATAGAGGGATGGATGGATGGATACAGATGATATGGATGGATGGAGATGGATGGATGGATGGATACAGATGATATAGATGGATGGGTGGATACAGATGATAAATGAGATAGATAGATAGATAGATAGAGGGATGGATGGATGGATACAGATGATAAATGATGGATGGATGGATGGATGCAGATGATATAGATGGATGGATGGATACAGATGATAAAAGATAGATAGATAGATAGATAGATAGATAGATAGATACCCTGTTTCCCCAAAAATAAGACATCCCCTGATAATAAGCCCAATCAGGCTTTTGAGCACATGCGCTAAAATAAGCCTTCCCCTAAAATACACTGCTCAAAAAAAAATAAAGGGAAGACAAGCAGAAGAAATCCGAGATCTGAATGAATGAAATAGCTTTATTAAATACTTTGTTCGTTACATACAGTAGTTTTGTGTTCCCTTTAGTTGTCTGTGCAGTGTATAAACTACTGTATGTAAAGAACAAAGTATTTAATAAGGCTATTTCATTCATTCAGATCTCGGATGTCTTCTGCTTGTCTTCCCTTTATTTTTTTGAGCAGTGTATTTAAATGCAGAGCTGGAAATCTGGCAAGATGACATCTTGCTCCGCATGCCCCAAAGTAATAAGACCTCCCCGAAAATAAGGCCAAGCGCTTATTTCGGAGTTCAAAAAAATAATATAAGACAGGGTCTTATTTTCAGGGAAACACGGTAGATAGATAGATGGATGGATGGATGGATATAGATGATATAGATGGATGGATGGATGGATATAGATGATATGGATGGATGGATGGATGGATGGATGGATAGATATAGACAGAGACAGAAACAATTATAAGTAGATGATTGATAGATGATATAAATAGAGAGATGATAGACAGATAAGGATGGATGGAGAGAGAAAGAGAAGAGAGAGAGAGAGACCGAATTTTGCTCAAGAGACTGGGGGGATCATAATGACTGTTGAATCATACTGTAAGTACGAGGACTGATCCTGATCATGTCCCTTCTTTCAGTGTTTTTGTAAGTTTGCTAAATGGTTGCAAGTCGAGGATTGCCTGTAGCGTACTTTCTCCTTGAATCTTCTTTTTCTTAGCTTTCTTGTATACCTTTTTCACTTTATCTTTACCGCCGATTTCTAATAAAAATTAGATATACTCAAAAAAAACAAACAAACCCGAACAAGGCGGGACAAGAAACTCCATCTGTCTTTCTCCGATAAAGCTTCATTGTCCATGCGCAAAGGTCAGGGCTGCCAGAGCAGAGTTACTACACTTCGGAGTTGCAAATATTTGCTCCGTCATCTGTGCTTAACTCAGGGGATGTCCCCGCATCCACAAGCCAGCTTCTTGGGTTGGTTTGTTTCCGGCGCACAGTCCGTTTTTCAGCCCCTCTTAGATTCGTGGCTCTCCCTGAATTTAATCTTTTATATATGTGTGTGTGTGTGTGTGTGTACTAGCTGGAGGGATGAGGTGGCTCAGTGGCTAAGACGCTGAGCTTGTCAATCAAAAGTTCAGCAATGGTTCGAATCCCTAGTGTCGCGTAACGGGGTGAGCTCCCGTGACTTGTCCCAGCTTCTGCCAACCTAGCAGTTCGAAAGCAGGTAAAAAATGCAAGTAGAAAAATAGGGACCCCCTTTGGTGGGAAGGGAACAGCGTTCCGTGCGCCTTTGGTGTTGAGTCATGCCGGCCACACGACCACGGAGACGTCTTCGGACAGCGCTGGCTCTTCGGCTTTGAAACGGAGATGAGCACTGGCCCCTAGAGCCGAGAACGACTAGCACATATGTGCAAGGGGAACCTTTACAATTACCTTACATACTAGCTGATAATATTTATCATTTATTTATTTTATATTTATATTTATTTATACACAAATATAGTTTTATTTATTTATTTATTTATTTATTTATACACAAATATAGTTATATTTATTTATATACAGACACACAAACACACCGAGAGGTGTTAGGAGTGTCTTACCGCCACAGTATTTTTTTCCACAGAGTAAGTCATCTGTATACAAAGTTTGGTTGAAATTGCTCGAGGCGTTCCAGAGTTATGCTGGAACATACATACATACATACACACCCCTAAGGCTGCTCGGGGTGTCTTATCCTCACAGTATTTGTTTCCAGATAGTAAGTCATCTGTGTACCTTCCCACCAAAGATGGTCCCTATTTTTCTACTTGCGTTTTTTACCTGCTTTCGAACTGCTAGGTTGGCAGAAGCTGGGACAAGTCACGGGAGCTCACTCCATTACGCGGCGCTAGGGATTCGAACCGCTGAACTGCCGACCTTTCGATTGATAGGCTCAGTGTCTTAGCCACTGAGCCACCGCATCCCTCTCTGGTAATATACCCAACAATAATATTTCTGGTTTCAGAGTTGTTCCTACTGGGTATCTTTCCAGAAAAAATTAGTAAGGAAAATGCATATTTGATTATACACGTAATAACAGCTGCAAGAATTGTGTATGCTCAAAAAATTGGAAATCAGAGAAAATACCTTTGGAAGAAGAAGTAATAAAAAAAATTTTAGACTCTGCAGAAATGAATAGACTGATGATTAAAGATAAGGAGGAATCAGAATATTTTAAAACATGGAACTATTTTTACAGTTGGTTGGAAAAGAGATACAAATGATTGATACTATAATTATGTACAAATGATGATTATAATATTGAATTTAGAAATGAACTGTTAGAACAGTTTGGATGAATATGAAGATAGAAGAAACTTACGGAAGATGGAAAAGAAGCCTAGAAGATAACACCGAGGTGTCACAGGGAAGGGAGGATTGATATAATAAATGTTTGTCTGTCTTAAAAAATAAAATAAAAAATTATTTTTAAAAAAGGAATATTTCTGGTTTCAAATCTATGCGTTGCTTTATAATTTTTTTTAACCCAAGTACGTATTTTAGTCCAGTATTTTTTTTTTTTTTGCCTTTGGGTATGTCCCTGAAACTTAATCCTAATGTCCATTTTTGACCCCTGTAAGATAAGAATATTTGAATTTTTATCTCTTTCGTATCTAGAATTGCGAGAGTCATATTGCTTCAAACGATAGGATTAAATTCTTTCACGTTCACAACCCCAATATATGATTTTTTTTTGCGTTTGCAAAATACGTCAAGGACAAAAATGATCCCTGCTAAGTTCCTGGCACTGGGGAAAAAAAGAGCCACTTATGACCGGTTCTCGGGTTTACGACCGTCACAGCATTCCCTACGATCACGTGATCAAAATTTGGGCACTGGGCAACTGGCATGTAATTCTCCATTTACAACTCCCCGAGTGGCTTTGGACCGTGTGATTTCACTTAACAACTGGAGTGCTTTGCTTAACACTTCTGGCAAAAAAAGGTCGTAACAGCAGGGCGACTCACTTAGCAACCGTCTTGCTTAGCAATGGAAATTCTGGTCTCAACTGCGGTTGAGGAGTACTTATATATATATATTTAAAAAGGATAATAAGAGATGATAATTTGAGTCTGGTCATTTGGGTCTCCAAGACATCTCCATTGCTAGGGCTTTCTCTCCAGAGTGCTCTCTGCCCAGCCTGGTCCTTCATGTCTCCCAATGGGCAATCATTTCTGTTGTAAATGAGTCCCTCCTCTTCCTCTCCTCCTCCTCCTCCTCCTCCTCCTCCTCCTCCTCCTCCTCCTATTCTTCCTCTCCTTCTTC